ACATTATTTACTCAAGAATTTTTAACTACTTGAGAAGTTAAAGAAATTTTAGCTCCAATGTGCACTCAAGGCTTGTTAAATATCATTGCTAAACCAAACAAAGCCAAACCAACTAACCAACCAACCAAGAACATAAAAACGTTCACAGCGTCCACAAGTACATGAATCTCTTTTGATTCCCACATAGCTTTGACATTGGTGCTCCTACAACTTAGTAGTTAGATGGCCTCTCACAGGCACACACACATCTAAATTACCACACTCATTTTAGTCTATACAGGAAGGACACAATAAGTAGCTTGTGAATAAGGAGATATTCATCCTCACATCAGATACTTAAACATTGGCTTTTGGGTCAGGTACAGATATAAACCACGTAAATATTGGCATGGTGACCCCTGTATATATTAGAGATAGACATTAATACATGTATATCTATGTGGACATGTTACATAAAATAGTGATTCAAACTAAGAGTACAACAATAACTTTGGGGCACAATATGGCAATATCCATCAAAATTGCAAATGCAGATATCCTTCAATCCAGTAATTCTAGGTCTAGAATTTACCCTTCAGATATAGTCACACGTGTGCAAAGCCGTATGTACAAAGATGTTATTTGTAGTCATGTTTATAATGGCAAAAACTGAAAAAAGAAAACTCAAACACATTTCCATTCATGTTCATACACACACACACACACCCTAATAACATTTACTTATTTGCTTACTTCGTGCCAGCCACTGTGCCAAATGATATTTACCTGTCTACCTATGTATCTATACATTCTTATAACATTTAATATATTTATATATGTATATGTATACACATAAATACATATATATTTTAAAATACCCTTTTTGGATTGCAATCAGTCCCTTTTCATTTTTCATCTGGATGGTCTTATGTAATGTAGCATGTAACAGCCCTACTATGTACTTTTGAGAAGGATAAACAAGGCTTTTATTTTCAGTAGTTTACTGAATATTTGCAGTACTTCAACAGCTTCAGTTTTCTGACTGTCTTATGACACCTCTCTAGCCTTCAAGACAAGATTTCCTCCCTGGCACAGGAGACCTGGTGAGTAGATTGACTCTTCCTAGAAGTTTCTGAATACCCAGTTCCTTGAGGGAGTCAAGGCACAGCTGACATGTTTCCTAAGGTGTTTCAGTCCCTCACGCAGTGCCTCCTTGTGAAATCCCGTCTCATTCTACAGTGGTGTCAAGGACTATGGCTTCCAGCGAGATCTGTGACATTTTGTGGTTTGTCAACTTTGTCAAACTCCAGATTTACTGAACTCCAGATTAATGTAATAGATTCACATTGACATTTCTGGGCTCCTGGGTGTTCCAATAGATGGAGTGAGAGGTTCTATGAACCCCCAGAAATTGTAAATGTGTGTGTGTGTATATATATGTATATATGTGTATTATAATATATGTTAATTATAATGTATATGTAAATTACCTGTAATAAATTAATTACAGATAATATGTAATATATATAATTAACCGGATTCTCAAAGAAAATTGTAATACCCCACAAAAACAAAATCGGAAATCACTGATTTAGAGATTCAAATCTCCCACTTTAGGATAAATTTAAATGGCATTCATAATTCGCTTATATAACTTTGTGTGAAGTATAATGCCCGGCTACTCTAAAATTCTAAATGCACTTTTTCAAACTTACTTCCATGGTGTCACAATTATTTAGGGGAATAAGTGGCTTTCAACTGGTTCTGTATTCGGTGTTTTGGTAAATAAAGCCTTTAGAATAACAAACAGTGATAGTATCAATGTTATATACTACAGACCATCTGAAGGGGATTTCAGGAGACAGAAATCTTCAGATGATTCAAATTAGAACTAGAAGTGCTTGCCAAGTATCCTACTGTGTGGTAGCGTGTCACATAAACCAGTGCAGTAAATGAGGTCCTAAGAATACTCCAGGTTGGAAAAGAGCATTCCGTGCCCGAGCTCGCTCAGTGCAGGGGGACAGGGAAGATCATAGCTCTAGGGCCAGATGGCCTGGGTTCAAGCCCTAGTTTCATCACTTTCTAGAGGTGTGACATTGGGCAAGTTACTTCTTCGCCTCTTCAACAGGTAGTTTCCCCATAAAACAAGGGTGATAACAGTAGCTCCTCCATAGTGTTTGCGGCACTGATTTAATGAAATAAGCTAAGTATCTAATGCATAATAAACGGTAGCCGTTATTGTTATGTTCTCTCTCAAGTGACACATATTTATGCATACTATAAAAATAAACCAAAGGCCACTACATAGGATTCACTGATGGCAAACCTAGTGATGGGACCTAATTCTATGTGATGGATTCATTTATGACCAATATAGATGACTAGATGGTCACATTTGTAATAATTTTGTTTCAGAAGTAAAAACAGCTTTAACAGACTGAATGACTTCAGGCAAAAGGATGTAACTTCTTAGGAAAATCATAAAGGACTTTGAAATGAAAGTAAAAGCTGGGTGCCCCTTGGGAGTCAGATATCCTCTGGCTTATCAAATTTAATAATTTGACCAGACAGAGAAAGTATGATGGTCCTGGAAGAGCTGATGTACATCTGGCCTGGAGGCAACACATCGAAGGAAAATGTCCTCAACCCCACTTTCCATACAGCACTTCAGCTCCTGGCTGACTTACGAACCCTCAGAGTTCATAAGAAGTGGTTGCCTAGCAGGATTTTAGGATTTCTTCTATTTATCCCCCATTTCTGAGAGTGTTTCCTTCTAGGGCCTGGATCCTAATCCAAATCCTATCTGTAAACCTCAGAAATCTCTTGGATTCCCTTAAAGTGTGGCTCTTTGGATTAAGATTTCCAAGAGATTCATGAAAGGCAATTTAAAGGCATGCCTTATGGTGTCTTCTCCTGCCACAAAGATCAAAGTGTCTCCGGCAACCCTTTTCCAATCTAGCCATTTTTTCCTGAGTACTGAGCCCAGGATTAGCTTTAGGCAAAGCCCCAAAGCACATTCCCATTCCCTTACACTTTAGTTCTGTTTTTATGTTTGACTTTCCACTGCTGAGCATGATACGCAAGCAGAGTTTTACATATTTGCGTATCCTTTAAATTTTCTGGCTCTTTCACTTTGGCTATTTTTCTTAACACCATAAAACCTTAGTCAGTGGACACTAACAGCGTTACTGTAGAGTTGAGGAAACTGAGGCCCAGAGATGCTGGGATGTGTCCAGAGTCCCAAAGCAATTTGGAGTCAAAAAGTGTGGGGGTTTATGTCCTGCCTTAGCTTTCTATCTCCTCTGATGCCCCTGGTAATCAGACAACAATGTTAGCCGCTGAAACTGTTAGGCACTCTACATTGAGTGCTCTTTATCTTGTCCGCTAAGTAATCAACGAGGTGCCACTTAAACATTGGAACCTAACAGATTTGGGTCTGATTTCCACCTCCATCTCTTTCTCATTGTGAGACCTTGAACATCCTATAAATCATCTGTAAAATAGAGTAATATCTCCTCGTGGGTTGTGGGAAGGAGGAGAAAAGGAAAGTAACACATCTATTCCAGAGCTTGGCCCCCTGGAGGCATTCAATATAGAGCAGGTGCAGTGCAGTCATTCAGAATAGTGAACTGTGTTGTGTACTCACCAGTCTGGGTCTCCTTCTTGTAGGTCATTTGCTTCCTAAAAACCTATTCCTATTCTAGCCCTTATGCTTTCAGGGCCCTCCAAGACAATGATTCCCAAGGTTAGTGTACAAATGAATCACCTAGGCATCTTAAGGTGCAGATTCTGGGGCCGGTCTGTGGCCGAGTCGTTAGGTTGGAGCTGGAAAGATGTTGTTTGAATTGATAAGGGCAGACACAGCATCTACTAGGGTTTAGGAAATCATCCAACTGCGAACAGGAAGAGGAAATGCTGACTTACCAAAGGTTTGTGAAGTGTAGTCATCATTGTTAGGAAGTACTCATACAACTTAATTTATTTACTACTCTGCCCATTGCCTGCTGTGACTAAGGCAAGTTCCTGCATATAAGAAATTCACAGTGTCTTTTTTTTTTTTTTTTTTTAAGGAAGATTAGCCCTGAGCTAACATCCCCTAGGCCAGGGCTGAGCCACTGTTACTTTGGTGGCCCAGGGCTTAGCAGATTGAGATTCTGAGCGCGGACCTAGTACTGCTCATCAAGCCATGCTGAGGCAGCATCCCACATAGCAGAACTAGAAGGACCTACAACTAGAATATACAACTATGTATATTCTACATAGTTTGGGGGAAAGAAATAAAAGAAGAAGATTGGCAACAGATGTTAGCTCAGGTGCCAATCTTGAAGAAAAAAAGATGCAGATTCTGATTTTGTCAGTCTAGGGTGGACTTGCAGCTCTAACAGGCTGTCAAGTGATATCAACCCTGCCAATCCATGGACCACACTCTTTTGGTGAGGAAGATTGGCCCTGAGCTCACATCTGTGTCAGTCTTCCTCTATTTTGTATGTGGGACACTGCCACAGGATGGCTTGACGACTGGTGTCTAGGTCCACCCCTGGGATCCAAACCCTGAACCCGGGGCCGCCAAAGCAGAGTGCAGGGACTTCACCACCACACCGCCAGGCTCTCCCCTAGGCCACACTTTTGAGTAGAAAGAACGTACCCAGTGAGCTGGACTTAGGGACTAGATACTTCAGAACCAATGGTTCTCAAACTTTACAGTTCATCATAATCACATGGAGGTCTTGTTAAAATACAAACTACTCTGCTCCACCCCAGAGTTTCTGAATCAGTAGGTCTAAGGTGAGGCCATAAGATGTCATTTCTAACAAGTTCCCAGGTGACGCTGATGCTGCTGGTCTGGGGACTACACTTGTTCTAGGCATAACAGAAGGCTACGGAATACCAGAAGAGAATTTGGTTCCAGCGATTACTGACTTTTAGGAGGATCTTCTTGAGTAAGCTCCCAGCAAAGGCTCGCCCATCTCCCCCTTCCTAACCCGGCCCCCGCAGGCGAGATATTAGCAGACTTTCTTTACCTTGTAGACATTGATGGGGATGTCAATGATGATGTGCAGCAAGTCTCCCAGAGCCAGGCTGGCGATCAAGATATTAGGGCCGTTCCGCATGCACTTGTTCTTGTAAATGATTCTCAGCAGTGTGGAGTTTCCGATGATGCCCAGCACGAACACTAGGCAGGACACTACTGTGTTGATGTACTTGAAAGTCTCCTTGATCTCGATGGTTCTTTCGCACGGGGGAGGAGGGAGGGTGCGTCGCTGGGCTCCCGCCGTCCTCCCTGCTTTAGGCATTTGCGGAGGTGCTGATGACCGCGGCACGCTGGCGTTGGACCCCGTCGGCCAGGAGGTCTTAGTCGGGGGCGTCATTATCTCTTCAGACCCCAGAAGTGGCGGAGTGGCCCTGGCCGGCGGGAATCTCCTCTCTTCTCCCTGGACCCCTGCCACGCCGCAGGCAAGGATCAGCGCCACCAGAACGCGTCCACACAGGGTTGGCAGAGGCTGCATGCTGCTGCCTGCTCCAGTGAGCGTCAGGTGGCCGCTCCGCAGCTTTCAGACTCTGGACATCCGCAAGGGAAGGAAGATAGGACCCTTGGATCAGCTACCCCAGCCACGCCCCTGCAAACCGCTAGCGCAGAGCGCAGAGCTCAGCTGCGCCACTACTATCAGCGCGCAAAAGTAACTCAAGTTGGCGCGCCAGCGGGAAACTCTGGCGCGTGTGACCCGCCTGCGCCGGTCAACTGTCCTTTTAGAACCAGCTTTCTCCGTGTTTTTTCTTCCCTCCGTTCCCCCACCCCTAACCCTGGGTAAATGATTCGCGGTGAGGCGGGGCATTCTGGAAGGGGTGTACCAGGGAGGGAAGGATGGGTCTCCAAGGCAAAGCTCTGAGCTCCTTGGTGTGTCCGGAGGAAGCATGTACGTTCTGGCTAGGCTAAGGACGCGTGGGCTCGCGGGGAATTACGGCACCTAGAGGCCAAGGGCATATGCCAATCTCTGCATTTTGCTCCACAGGGAACCCGGATACCCGATGTCTGAACAAGACTCCTCACGGCGGGTGAAAGCTGCTCCGCCTGGGCTGCCCGCCCTCTGGTTCCCCCTGCGCCCGCAAGAGTGCGCGGGCTGACTCGGAAAATCTGAGAATTCTCAACTCGGTCCGACTTGGGAGCGCATCAGCCTTTACTCGGAAGCTTCTGTCTCCTCCAAGTGGCTTGAAACACTTACGCGCTCTCCTTTACTCCAACCTCATCTAATTCGCTCTCTCTACTTAACTTTTTAAAAAGTATCTTCAAACTAGTAGACCAAGCCGAAGCCCCAGCAAAAGGTTCAATCACCGATATTAATTTAACACCACGCCAGAATGTTTACCTCGCGGATCCGACGCACCAGGCGCAGAGCGACGAGCGGGGACTTTCTTCCCTGGACGCGCTCGGCTCCCAGCTCGGTTCCAGTTTTCTCCTGGAGCAGAGCACGCCTCCCGTCAGCTGCAGGCGGGTCTGGCTCTGACGAAACGCTGAGGGAATGCCAGACAGTGTAGCCTCCACAGCGTGCTCGGGGTCTTTGCTGTCCCTAGACAAGTACTTTTATTCATTCGTCCCTTCCCCATCAATCACAGCCAGACTCCTCCCGCGCCTTGCGACCGCGCCACAACCTCTCCCCTTGGGCGATGCCTGGACAGCATCAGCAGGAGCTACCCATTGGAGAGGGCAGTCCTCCGCCAGAGACGCATCCTGAGAAGCTGTTTATTTGTCATAGTTCTAAGTTCTTCAAAAGACAAGCCTAAATCAAGGGCAACTTTTCACGCACCCCGCGACGCGCTGGGGAATCCAGACTAGAACAGGACTCTCTGTTAAACGTGTTAACCTGGACTTTTAATGACAACTGTGCCTTTTCTTTCTGGTAAATATCCTGCTATGATATCTAAGACCTGGTTGGTTTGGGGGCGCTGCTCTTTGCTCCGTTTTTGTTTTTGCCTTAGGTTTCTAGTCCACATCCGCCCCAACACGGAGGAGCGGGATCCGATCCTTTCTTCTCAAGCCCTAGCTCACTGCCCTCGGAGAGGACTAAAATTTCTCCCTCGTTTCTCTAGCAGTGGCTATTCTCTCTTCCTCTTATGTCTTGAAGAGTTATTGTCAGGCCATCTCAAGGATGTTTATACTGTCGAGAGACCTGATACCTATAGGGGACATGAAAATAATCAGAAAGCTACTGTTCAAATACAAGATGATATTTGTTTATCAGGCAGAGCATTAAAATAAATTCTTCCTATCCATTCTGGAACTCAATTTTTAAGGGATAGAGAGAAATAATAGTGACTGACAGTTTTGCCCTAAGTTGTATGAAACAGAAGTCAGAAAGTCAGACTGTGGGATGCACGTTGGATATTACTCTGCTCTCCTCCAGTCAACTAAATCCCTGTTGAATCTGTGAAATGTCAGACCCAGGAGGAATCACTCCATGCAAGCAATTCACCTAGAGGCTAGGTGGCTCATTCTTGGCTTCTCAGCTTGTTAATGTCATAGATGGGATAAGAATCTTGGATTTTTGGCTCCTATGCAATGCTTTCTGGGAAAGTGAAAGTAGAAAATCAATTTCTATTTAAAAAAGTGAGCTCTATGTGTGAAATATGGTCTAAAGAACATGGGTAAAGAGTAAGGCTACAGAAATGAGAAATATGGTGTTGTGAGTGCTAATGCCAAATCTGGATGTTTTGATCACCGTACTTGTCTTCCCTGTCTTGGTAAATAAAAACAAAGTCAACATTCAATTTCTTTATAGCTGAGCCAAGTAACAGTGTTATGTGAATAAGGAATGATATAGGTGCATTTGGAGTATGAATATTTTGCTCAGTTGTGAACCTGTGCTTTTCCCCATCATTCATAAACGGAGGGACCACTTTCTCTCCCTCTCCATTCACTTTCCCATCTTCACCTCCATTCATATTTCATGCACCCAGTCCTGGATGTCTATTCTAAGCCTCACCAAGATCTCTCTCTTCTCTTTTTGCATAGCACTTTAAGACTGTTAAACACAACTGAGAGCTTGATCACATAGAGACTTTTATGGGTCACTATTGATTTCATGTGAATTAATTTCTTTTTCAGGAGAGGGGCAGAATGGTAGGTTCTTTCTGTACCATCACAACACTTGTCACAAGCTGAGCTCAAGAACTACTTTTTATAGGTTTGGTAATTACAATTTTAAGCTATTTAATTATATTTTAGGAACTCTAGTTATAGGGTTCAAGAACAAAGCCAAATAATTTTAGGGTAATCGTACACATTTCTCACCTGGAATTTAAAACACAATGTTGGCTATCCCCTATATACGGTCTCCTACCTGTGTGAGGCACCTTATTCATAGGATCTCATTTTCACCCTCACAGCAATCTTTGAGTTAGAAATTGTCTTTCATGATTTTACAGGTGTTGAAATGGAACCTCAGAAATTCACTCAACGTCACAGATTTGGAACCAAGATTTGAATTCAAGACTCTCTGGTTGCACAGACTGTGCTTTTTTTGTCCCTGTGTGTGTGAGGAAGATTGGCCCTGAGCTAGCATCTATTGCCAATCTTCCTCTTTTTGCTTGAGGAGGATAGTCCTTGAGCTAACGTGTGCGCCAGTCGTCCTCTACTTTGTATATGTGACGGGGCCACAGCATGATTTGATGAGTGGTGTGTAGGCCCGCACCCGGGATCAGAACCTGTGACCCCTGGGCTGCTGAAGCAGAGTGCAAGAACTTAACTACTACACCACTAGGCCAGCCCCCTCTGGTTACACAGACTGTGCTTTTGATTAATTTAATTACAAAGAGTCTAAAGAGACTTTTTTTTTTTTTTTGAAAAGCAGTGTTTTAGACGTCAGTAACATTTAATTGAAGTTTTTTTTTTTTGAGGAAGATTAACTCTGAGCTAACATCTGCCACCAGGCCTCCTCTTCTCACTGAGGAAGCCTGGCCCTGAGCTAACATCTGTGCCCATCTTCCTCTACTTTATATGTGGGATGCCCACCACACCATGGCTTGATGAGCAGTGTGTATGTCTGCACCTGGGATCCGAACCTGCGAACACTAGGCCACTGAAGCGGAACATGCAAACTTAACTGCTGCGCCACCAGACCGGCCCCATTTAACTGAACCTTAAATTGAGTGAAAAAGTAAAGGTAATCATGTGAAAGATTTATTATTTGATCCTCACGAATGACACTAATCATGTCACAAGAAATGGAGTCTCAGTTTCCTCTTTTGTAAAATAGAGGAAAAGGATTAGATGCTCTCTAAAATGCCTTCTTGTTCTAGTATGTCAGTCTGACAGACTAACCGACCCTGTAAGAATGGCCTGAAGAGCAGAAAATTAAGAAAGGATCTTATGTCAGATTTTTTTCCTTCTTTTTACTTTCTCTACTCATGCCTTGAGCAATACTACTACAGATACAAGGTTTTTCACTTTATGACTTAAAATCTGTTGTTGATAAACTTAATTAGTAAATTCACCAGTAGTTAAAGTGCTATGTAAGTTTCATTTGCAAATAGGATCAAAAAGTTGTATCAAATTTAAGTAGTCCTTTCCCGAAAACTTTTGGGTTTGAACTCATTTTGCATTTAGCATTTATGAAGGACTTTTTTTTAACTTAGTAAATATGGAATCTTTCACAAAGTTGCTTTTATGAAGACACTTTTGGAAATGTCCCAGGAAGTGTATCAAAATCCCAGATTGGCTGAGATCACCCATCAAAGGCAGAAAGGGTGGTGAAGGACAATGTCCCACTATCCCTTTTAAATGCTTTAACTAGAAGGTCCTGCAGACATGGTTGAATGCACTTCAGAATTCATTCCTCAAAGAGGTTTGCCATGGGGAGCTCCTGCAAAGCAAACCTTTTCCCCTGGTACGAGAACAAAGAAAAGCCCTTTTAGCCACAAAAAAGCTAATACTTTCATGTAATCCCCTTGATATGAATGTACCCTTCAAAATCTACCTTGCATTCTCTAAATCATGAATGTTGAGGGGCAAGGTGTGTGAAAAACACAGAAAGTGTTGGTTCAGTTGCTTCTCCACACATTCCCCCAGGAACAGATCCAATGATCAAACAGTGGTTGAAGTAAGAGCATAAAGAAGAATTAAAGTAAGTGCACAAATCAATAGGAAGCAGCCTGAGCATTTCTATTTCTTGGATTTTTATCTTGTGTTAAATGGCTGTAGCTATTCGGGCCTAATGGTTAAGGGGGCTTTTTTTTTTTTCTTTTTAAATTAAGATGTAATTTATATATATCTAAATGGACAGGGCACAAGTGAACAGTTTGAAGAGCTTTGACAAATGTGTATGTCTCTCTGACTTATGCCTAATGGGGCTTTTTGAAAATGAATTTATTCTTCTAAAGAAGCAAAGTTTGAATATTTCAGATTTGGACACTATTTCCTATAGAACTTCATTAAGGCATCATCTCTACTTTATTGATTTATTTTATACCTATTATCAGCTTCTGTAACTAAAATATGATTCATAAATTAGGGGTGTGTTTAAAATGAGAGAATGTAAGATTTGAAGGCTTGTCAATGATTGCTTGATAGTGCCTAGTTCTGGTCCATGCCCCTAAAGTAATGAAAATTTGATAGGACTATAATAACTAGAAATAAGACAGAATTGTTTTTTTCTGCTTATAGAAAAATTGAGAAGCAGGAAGGCCATGCTTCCTTTTTTCTGTCTGAGAAAAGCAGCATAGTTCAGCGGCTTCAGCCTGGATCTACCTTAATTAATGAGAGGATTTGCTCTCTTGCTTATGGCTTAAGTAATTTCTATATTCCTTTCTTTGATGTATTCTTTTTTTATACCAGCGTCAGTAAAAGAAAAAATGAGAGTAACCTGGTCTACAAACTCCTTAAAACTGCTCACAGGAACTCTTTGGCACAACCTTAAAAATGTATTAAAAATTCCTGTCTAAGCCGGCAGGCCAATCTGTGCTTTCTTGGTGTGTCAGTGCATGCTTGACACTTCTGTAAATTATTTTAGGCCATTCAGTCATGGACGAAACACTATCATTACTTTATATCAGAATAATTCTATCATGTGTAAAGCTCTCCTTTTGGGGGCGATTATTTCATATGGATTATAATTTATGATGAGCTTATGGATCATTTTCTCTTACTATTTTCTTTAATTTTCACCTTTCCTTATTTCTCTTCTTTTAACATCCTAATGATGTGTCCAAAGGGATGTGACATAGTCAAAGTAAGTTAGAAAGAGAGGAGAAAGAGAAACTCGGGGATTTAACAGTCCACAGTTAAATAAAGGAGAATTGCTGGTGGGAATGTAAATTGGTGCAGCCGCTATGGAAAATAGTATGGAGAGTCCTCAAAAAAATTAAAAATAGAAATGCATATCATCCAGCTGTTCCATTTCTGAGTATTTATCCAAAGAACACGAAGACACTAA